ACTATGGTATATAAAATCATATATCTATGATACCATGTAAACAGTAATAAATAATATTAATAGTATTATGTATATATATATATATATATATATATGTGTGTGTATATATATAATACTTCTAGAAAACTGTCACTCATGGACTTCATGAGTAAAGCAGATGGGGATTTTTGCCCATCCGATTCTTACAATCCAGGTGTTTCTACTTTTCAAAATAGGATAACACAGACGCTCATTGCTCTGTCTCCAGTGGGTCATTCCTCCAGACCCTCAAATGCATTTCCTCCCTTTCCCTTTTTCTTCTAGTGGAGCACAGGGGTTTTTGCCACTTACAGTTCCCAGTTGCTGGAGTGGTGGATCATGGAGGTTTCCTCACGAAGATGTTCTTGCATGGGTGGACCTCACTTGGCTAAATTGATATCAATTTTGTTTTATTACAAACTTATGCAAGGCACTTCCATGTTCTTTTTATCCTTGGACCGCACTTGGCATAATACATTGTATCCCAAGGTTCTTCTCCTGGATGATTTATTACAAATTTATGCAAGGCACTTCCATGCTGTTTTTGTCCTTGGACCGCACTTGGCATAATACATTGTATCCCAAGGTTCTTCTCCTGAATGATTTATTACAAAGTTATGCAAGGCACTTCCATGTTGTTTTTGTCCTTGGACCACTCTTGGCATAATACATTGTATCCCAAGATGCTTCCCCCTGGATGTTTTCTGCCTGGGCAGACCACACTTGGCTTATACGGTCCTCTATGGAGGAGCAGAGGTAGTACTGTTTTGGAAATTAACATGTACTAACACTGAAACTGTATCTCCAATAGGTACTTACTTACTTTCTCTCACTCATAGCTATCTCAACCTACATTTGCCCTCTAGGTATTGGTAAACTTTTTAAAAATGCACCAGTCTTTTATACCCTTATATTTTTGCATCATTGAAGAAACATGTGCTGATCATGTGGCCACCCTCCACAAATCCCATTGCACCCTCTATACTAAGAAAGGAAGCTCCCTTTACCCTTGCAACACAATCCTCACTTTTGAGGTTTGGCATATACAAACCCAATTACACTGGCAAGTCAGTTGGGAGGAAGGGTGGGAAGAGGGTACTTCCTCTGTTCCGCCATAGCTAAAATCTCGCAATGGAAAGATGGAGAGGCTGGTGAAGGCACAAAAACGAATAATCAAGTGGAGAGCAACCACTATTAAAAAAAATATATATAAAAATAGGAGGTGAGTAAAGTGTTTTAAAAATATTCTACATGTTTCCATATCAGTTCACGTTGTCATTAGCAGTGACAAAAATATTACTATCATGCAAACAGAAAATCTTTTTCACAACAAATTGTAAAACTGTATATCAATGTAGACAGTTTAAAATACAAAGCACTCCTGTGGGGTATTGCACTACTTGTGGAACAGGTATGCTCTTCACCCAGTAAAGAAGATAAGACATGTAGGGTGGAAACAAACAGACTATGTGGCTAGGGCTAGAGGACCATATATGAATAGGCCAAGTGTCTTATAATTGTCTTATTCAACTTTTGTTTTTCATAAAAATTTTCTGCCATATTGATCACCCTCTTCTTGTAGTAAAACCATGAGTCAGATAATGTTCTACAACCAAATGAAAGCGTTAATTGTTTTAGAAAATACAAAAGGTCAAAAAAGCTTATAACTTGACATCCTGCCCTGTATATTTTATAAGACCAAAGTCTATTGAGCCAGTCAGTGGTCTTGAATATCAAACACGTGACTCATGTCAGGAATAGACTTAGAGACCAAGCAAATGTATAGACTATATGTAGTTTGTAAGAAACAAGCTCTTCTAGACAGAGGTAACAACAGCAATTGTTATTTACATAGAACCTTTAAATGCAACTGACTTATAAAGTTAAGCATAAAATTAAGCATCCTTATTAGGACAAATCATCTTATTTTAGTTGTAGAACATCAAGTAAATAATAGTTAAACAGTAAGTCGTTCATTGATTATATTTAGTTGTAGCAAAATAACTGTTCTTTTCATGATGATAAAAGTATGTAACATAAATTATTGGTTATAACAGCTGCCTCAATCAAATATTGGATAATATGTATATTATAGTAGTTATCTCATTGACTTGTGAAAGTGAAACAGCAGGTGTCCTATGGAACATTGTCTGTCTAAAGTAACAGTATCTTTAATAATGATAACATCTTTGGCTCATAGAAACACTGTAAAAAGTACATAACTGAAATTATGTATCTGGTCAAAAACATAGTTATATGGATAAAGACAAACTAGTGAAAATGCATGATATTCAATTAAGCATCCTTTTTAGGACAATAATTGGAAAAAGTATGCTTAAATATAGAAAGTAAAAACTAATCAGTTGTGTATTTTCTTGTCCTTCATTGTAACAAACAACAAAATGAAAAATTGAACTATTTTGTGAAAAACATCATTACAGGGATAGCATAAAGTAAAACTAGTGAAGGTGCAAGCTTTTTTGTTAAATTATTGCATGATATTTAAATAAGTGTCTTTTTCAGGACATTAAATATAACAAGTATGCTTAAGTATAGAAACTATAATCAGTATATGTTAAATGTGTACTAAATCATATAAAAAGTCAGCTGTCGTGTTCAATATTTATAAGAAAAATATTAAGTATGATAAAATCATTTTTGGAATGCATTCAAAACGTATCCTATAGAAATACAAGTAAACAAAAAATAATGAGACATGCTGAAACCTGTATGCAACACCCTTAGTACCATTGGCCACTTTTGTGAAACACATGTAATACGAATAAATGTATAAATGAAAACAAAAGTGTACATTGAAACATGTATGCTGTCAACCTTTGTAAATTATATTTAATGATTAAATTATTAGTTTTAAGACTGCTAATACCATAAGACTAATACCATTATGCCCTCTGTTTCCACTTTGTGGAAATAGCAACATATTTTTGGAGAATTTTTTGTCATGTCTGCCTGTCATGGCATTTGAGCAGTGAGCCCTCTGTTGCCACTTCATGGAACTATTATGTCATCTTCTCTGGTGATATCATCGTCTCTACCCCCTTCTCCCTGTAGCAATCAGTCAGTGTGAGGTGGCATACTTTGGGCACATGGATGAGTAGGTAACTACTGGTGTTTCCTCTAGAATAATTTCTTTATATTGTATGTGAATCCAAAATATCAAACTACAAGTAGCAGAAATGAAACTCCATTTCTCTAAATTTTTCCTATTAGTTTTGTTTGCCTATAGAATCAGACATGAAATTAGTATTTTAATAGTTTTAGTACAGTTTGCATGCATAACTAAGTTTGGAATGCTAGTTTTTCAATTATATCATGTTTTAAGTTAGTTAACTGTGGAGATTGTTAACACTGGCTGTTATTTCTGTTAACATTTTCAACTGTTCTTTGATTTTAGAACGTATGTGTTCGAGTGAAATCAGAGCAGCCTGGGGATCTGCAACAACAAGATGTTATTTTAAAGTTCTGTTACAGTGATGATGAGGACCAGGACATTTCACATTATAATGTTAGGAATGTGAAAATAGAAACTGAACATCAAAGAACATCTGGTAAGTACAACCATCACCTAAAACATAAGTTCATTGATACTGGCTCAACACCTACCATATGAATTTGGTTGATGAAACTGACCTTGTAACCCTAACGTAAACATAAAAGTTTCTATACTGTAACTTTTAATATGTTTTTGTATCTTGAGAAAATTCAGTAAACATTGCTAGTCTTTTGTACACAAAAAAGCAGATTTTTTTTTAAGCATTTTTTACTGAAAATTTATTTATGAATATATGTAGTCAGTGTGTTGACAACTCCAAGTACAAAGTGACTTTCCTGTTAAGATAAGAAAAACTTTCTTCATCTTAAAATTGTCAAATTTCATTTGAGTAATCTCTTATATTTTAAATAAATATCAAACATTTTTTCAGTAAAATTATATTTTATTTACCCTAAAGCTATAAGCAATCTGTCAATTTGACCAACTTTGTAACCACCATAAAAAACAAATCTAAATTAAAATTTTTTTCTTTCTAGAATGACTGCAAATTATAACATGAAACTGTAATTTGTGTATCATGAATAGTTTAAAGCTCCTAACAGTATACATCTATTTCTACCTAATATTATTGTTTTATTGCCCACGTCTAATTAATACCTTTCTATTGGTTGTAAACAATGTAATATAATACATCATTTGATAGATTAAAACGTTACCTTTCTATTGGTTATAAACAATGTAATATAATACATCATTTGATAGATTAAAACGTTACCTTTCTATTGGTTATAAATAATGTAATATAATACATCATTTGATAAATTAAAACATTAGCTTTCTATTGGTTATAAACAATGTAATATAAAATTCAGAGATCTGTTTACAATATGTGAAAGATGAGATGTGGCAAGTGGGTCTGCAACAAATGTTGCAGCTCTCATACTAGAGAAGATTGAAGATTTTTCAAAAATATTTGCTTATAAAGTCAAGATCTTAAAAGTTACATAATATTACAGTTGGATTCATTAACTATATTTTAATGTCAAGTTTTTCATGTACAATGATGATAAAATATTTATTTAAATTTTGAATGTAAATAACTTAAGCTGGGACATGCACTTTGACCTAACCATAGCGAGAAAGTCAAAAACTTTTTTAACATTTATTGAATCATATTAGACAGGATTAATTTGAAGTTTATAGATCCGTGTTTGGTTTGTCTTTTATTTCTACTTATTGAGTGAAAAGTTTAATGTGAATAAATGATGACAAAACATTACAAACTATTTTAAGATTAAGTTTG